AAAATTTTCATTGGGAACAACATGTTGATGGATGTTCGTTGGTTTTTTATGTTTAATTCATGATGAGCTTATATGTATTTGGATGTTTTTTTATGATGTGTATGAGCTAATTGAAAAAATATATAGATAATCCATTGGTATTCATCGACCATGCTAGATACATTTAGTTTAAGCTTTAATTAAGGTGTGAGGACGGTTGGTTCGAATACATATGAATTATGCCGAGTGTTGGATTAGTTTATGGAATGCATTCATCTGAATAATGCAATTTTGAATCAAACATAAATAAGTTAAATTGATGAAATATTTGGATGAATAAAGGAAAAGAAGACCTCGGTTTTATTTTATTATCACCAGAAGCAACTTTTTTCAAGTTCATAGTTAAGTGTTCTCATTTACAAATTAAAAACTACAAAAAGATCTGTTTTTTTTTTATATTTAAAAGATCTGTTTTCTTATTACATCTTCATCGTAAAACTAAAACCCCAAATCCAAAGTTTGTTTAATTAGTATATGTGTGAAAATTTGTATTCTGAAATTCAATTAGATAGTTTGAACTTCACTGAAAATTGAATAGAAAATTTACGTAGCATCTGTACAAATCAAAATAAGGCACACATTTAACCAGATCACTCACTTGATTATGTTAAGTTGATGAAGTGTGCCCTTTTTTTTAATTAACCTGGATATCCAACCCGCTATGCGAGCCGACTAATCCCAGGGTGACTACCTGTTTTGCAGATAGCCCGAAGTCATCGCATTTGAACCTCCGTGGCCACAAAAGGATTTTTATTCCTCCTTGGATTTAAAGTGTGCCCTTTTAGTCTTTAAAGCAAAGTCATCCCTTATTATAACATAAGATGCATATTAAGGTGGGACTTGTGGAGGCATGTATATATCAAATTGGATAGATAGGATCATCCACTTAATAATGAGGGCACAAAAGTAAATATGCCCACTCTTCATAAAGAAGTGTTTGGTTGATTGATTTGGCATATGGGTAATTCATCAAAGATGTCCTTCTTGTATATTTTATTTCCTCTTTTGATGAGGAAGTTTCTTTACTTATGTCCTTTGTCATCTTTTTAAGTAAAATAATACAAAACAAGAGTGGATTAAGATGCACAATTAAGCACATTAGCCAAGTGCAAACATCCACTATGTTGTTCTTTATGCAAAATCTGACTTAAAGATTACATGCTTTTTGTTGAAATTCAAAGCTTACCCATTGGGGAAGAAGGAATCAATGTTGTAGTGAGCAATCAGTTCCAAAAGGGTAATTTCATGTTGTATTAGGTTACAGTTATAATGTTATATCAGTATTAATGTTTATACTTTGACTGATAAAGAAATAATAACTATTTAATTTGTGGATTTTGATGTAGTTTTGTTGATGTTTGATGTGATTCTAGTTGAATGTGTTGTGGAATGAAAACGTGGTGAATAAGATGAAGTTGCAAGTTGAAACAAAGAATGCAGATTTGGAGATGGGAAGAAGACATAAAAGCATAATTGGACAAATATTTGGCGAAAAGAGCAGGAGTGGGTTGGATAAATCCTTGCATGAGGATGGTGAAGGTCTCGAGTTCAATCCCTTGGCAATTAGCCAATCCAGATAGCTGATTCTTTAGGTCATTAGAAATTACAAAAGAGAAGGGAAGAGAGGAGTGTACCAGAGGGAAGGCAGCGGTTCCGGCTCTTGTCAGTATTGGTTTTGTTTTATAATTTTCTTTGATTTTGTGCAATGGAGATGAAGATTCAAGATGCAACAAAGTGGTTTTGATGAAGAACGTAGGTTATTCACATATCAAGATTGTCCCAAAGTGAAACTCAAGGTATTTTTTGATTTCGATCTTATTCAGTTTATTTTGATTTTAATGTACAAGCATATGAACCATATGGTGGTGCCTGATTGGTTTGAGCTTGGCTCCAAAGGTCAAAAGTACATGTAGGTCCCAGGTTCAAGTCCAAGGAGGAATAAAAATCCTCTTGTGGCTACGAAGGTTCAAATGCGGTGACTCTGAGCTATCTGCAAAGCAGATGGTCGCCCTGGGATTAGTCGGCTCTCATAGCGGGTTGGATATCCAGGTTAATAAAGAAAAATGTAAAAGCATATGAATTCATCTATTGAGACCATTAGTGACATATTGGTTTGGTTTTTAGTTGTTTAGTTTGGATGAATTTGTAAGTATTTGAATGTTTATATCTATTGAAATCAATTGGTAATAGGAGTATAGTTCATGGTATCCCCAGGCACGATGCCAAACACAGTAGATTACGTGGGAGGACAGTTGGTTTGGGAAGGCACAAACTATGTCGATGATGGGTTGATTTTGTATTTATATTTGTTTAAATTATACATGTAAGTTGAATGAATCAGATTCTACCTTTCATTGTTTCATTTTGGATCAACATCGTAGAAGTGTGGATTTTTCTTAAGAACAGTAGTTGTCTGATATCGTTGTTGTTTACTGATTTAATCGTCGAAATATTCATGTGTTTGAATATATGGATTGATCGGCAATACAAGATAGTCCAGTGATATTTCTTACCATAACAATTAGATGTTAATTTAGATGTGAAGACAGTTAGTCAGGACACACGTGGGTTACATATCTTAGATCGATTTCATGTTTATATCGTTAAAAAATGTATGTTCATAATAGAATTTTTGAAATAAAATTGGGGTTGAGGAACATTTGGGTTAGTAATGATTAAGGATGATAGTTGGTTTTTTTTATAAAAGTTCTGCTTTTATTCATTTATTATTTAATTTCATGAATTCCTGAATACAAAGCTTTTGAAACAGTGTCATTTGTAACAAATAACTTTTGGTACCAGTTAGTTTTCCACTTAGACTGATAATTTGAGTAATTAATCTCCATGGCACACGTGAAGTCAATTAACACGAAGAATTGATTCAACCACTGCCACCGTAAGAAAGAACGATACTCACTTTACTGGTTTAAGTTAGGTTTATAAATTCATCGATCTCCTTTTAAAGCTAAAATAAATCCAAAAAGAAGAATGCGGATTTTTTTGTTTTGCAAATCACATCACAAACATATTCGTATCATATTCCTATTCTTTCTACTTTATAGAGTAATACATGCATTATATCTTACAGAACTTAAACGAATATAAGTTGTTAAATCTTCTTAATTTAACGCAAATTCAAATTATTAATCTCTAAACGTCAAAATATGAGTCGAATGTGTGTTATGGGTGAAAAAATTGAGTAATATCATAATTCTTCTAACATTTTTTATTTTTTATTTTTTTTAACTTTGAAAAGGGAAATCAATAAAGTTATAGGATTTTCAAGCCCAAAAAACGTCGTTTTGACGTGTTTTAAGACATTGTTTTGCTTGTCGGTTTTCTCGTTTGGCCTTTTGAACTCATTTTATTTGCTCGTTGTAGCATCTGGAAAGTCAGTCGATGAAGGAACACGTTTTTCTTTCTATGTGTTGTTTGAATTCAAATTTGAGCCTACAAGTTCGTAATCTTGGAATCAACAAACTTTAAAAGATACTTTTCATAGGTATTCGTAGAATCGACAAGATTAGTCTTTACCATTGTTTTCCTACGCTTGCATCACATGTCAATCTTTTGAAGATGAGTTTTTTCATTTGTCATTTCACTTTAAAGATTGAAGAATATGTTCATATCAATCAGTGTATGATTTATGTTGGAAAGATAAAATTGGGTTTATAGGATATATAAAATGTAAAACGTTTTTAGGTGATTTTAGATGTTAATTATGGTTAATCTATGCACTAACTTAAGGGATCGTTTACCAAACGCTTATCAGGGGTCGTTTATCTTCAATGTGAGCATGACGAGGAATTAGAATCTTCCCCGGCAAGAGGTACAACAAAGATCAATGATCTTATCAGGTAAGTGAGGGAGAAGGCTCTTACCCGGTAAACGGCTACTTGGGGAAAAGAAGTTTAACAACAATTCATTTTGATGACCAAGAATGTTACCCAATAAGTCAGTAGGGTAAGTTAGAGCGGTGCTCTTGTCTAGTGCTTACCGGTTAAACATTTGATAAACGATCATTTACTCTTCATCAAGACATTGTTTTGCTTTTAAGTAATTTTACATCGTTATCTAACTTATAATTTAGTTTTTTAACTGATTTATATCCCCGATCATGAAACCTTTTCATAGTTTCATAAAAAATGTCACATCATCATTCTATAAACGCTTTCATTTTACAAATTTCGTCCCACGACCTGTCATGAAATTGGGTCCCATTTATTTTCTCCTTTAAATATAAGAATTCATTTATATATTAACTAAAATCACAATTACAATGTTATAAATAAAATGCACATTCATTTTAAATATTATTGTCTTCATAAGGTTCCAAAAATATCTACAACGAACCACAAAAGTGGTACCTGATTGGTTTAAGCTTGGGCTTTAAAGATCAAAAATGCTTGAAGGTCTCAAGTTTAAATCCAAGGAGAAATAAAAATCCCCTTGTGACCATGAGTTTCAAATGCGGTGACTCCAGACTACCCACAAGGTAAATGGTCGTCTTGGGATTAGTTGGCTCCGATAACAAGTTGGATATCAAGGTTAATGAAAAAAAAAATATTGATAACGATGATTAAAATACAATGGCGAAAATAAAATACAAAATAATAACTAAAATTATAATAATAAAAACAAAATTATAAAAATAGAATATACTAAAATGAATAATTTTAAAATTATCAAAATAAAATAAATTATACTTCATCCCTCCTGAAAATAAGTACCCAATTTTATGTTTCAGTAGTTGTTTACCAATTTTTTTGGATAAGCGTTGACTGAAATAAAAAGTCTGATTAAGTAATTATCAGATAAAAATTATGTTTACCTGATATTTTTATATTCAGTGTTGACTGAATAATAATGATCGTTATACAGTATGTTTAATTTGATTTTTAAGCGTAATTTATTATTTACCAAATACTTTTAAAAATTTGTATTAGTGTAATTATAATATCTTAAAAATAGATGACTTTTATTCAAACTATGAAAACTAGATGCTAGAAATAGAAATAATATTTACTTATCATATGAACACTAACCTCTCAAGATCTTGGTTTGCAGCCTCCATGATTAGAACTCCACTTGGCTCTACAGTTATAGCAGAACTCATACTTGCACCTGCATGTTATATGCAAACACCCCTCAGCTTTCTCCACAAAGAACTTGCAGCTTGGGCATTTCTTCCAGTTTTTCTTCTTAGCAAGTGCAACTGCCATCCCATCATCTTTTTTTCCTTTCTTTTTACTGTTAAGCTTCTCAAACTCCTTGCAGGTGAACTCCGAATGCCAAGGAACCCGACACACTGCACAGAATGACCGCCTGCATACTGGACAATCGATTTTACTTATGCTGATGTCATCGTTGATTAGTAGAACTGAACAGTCGGCAAAAGGGCAGTATAGCTTGTGGGATTCAAGAATCGTGGATTCACATAGCATTTCGTCCCATTTCATGAGAACGTCTTTGGGAATGATTAATCTTAAGGCGTTGAAATCCAATGCGGATTTGCAGTTCAACCCAGGGCATTTAATGGTGTTATTGTTTTCTTGAATCTTTGTTGTCGCGTGTTTGCTGGTGCATTCGTAACAGAAGGAATGAGAACAGGTTGAGTTTTTGAACATTTTCCATGATTCCTGGTTCTCCAAGCAGATTTTGCAGATATTTAGGGTCGGATCTGCGATTTCTACCTCTTTATTCTTCAACCATGAACCCAACGATGTCCTTGCTTTATGCGTTGAGCTTGATGCACTGTCTGTTGTTTGAGAAGAAGAGATAGAAGCTAATAGAGCTTCTTGGACTTGTAATTCTTCGGCATATTTGGCATCATCTTTTGAGATGATTTCATCATTGTCTTCTTGGAGAAGTACTGAAGATAACAACATAGATGAGGCATTCATTCACTTACAAAAATAGAGAACAAGAAACATATTAGCAAACTACAATGGTTGGACCTTGCTTAGGGCCCGTTTAACATCACAAATTAGGTAAAAGTGCGGTCTGGGTAAGAGGTTCGGTCTGGGGAACACTGGGTGAGAATTGTTGTTCACCAAATGTTACAAAACATTTGGTAAATAGAACAATAATACGGGCCAGGTAGGTGCTCTGTCAGCACCATCAGTCTTTAGGTAAACTAGATGAATACCTTGATCATCTTGTGCTGACCTGGTAAATGAATTAATAATGCTGGCTGGGTAAGTGCTCAGTCAGCACCATCAGTCAGATGAGTCTTTAGGTAAGTTAGTTGATGCTGACTGAATCAGTACCGGTTAGCGGTAGGTAAGACCCTTAGAAACAATCCAAGTACAAAATTAAGTTTGTACTTGCGACTACATGTTGCTGTTTTCAATTGCCTTCGGCCGATCTTCCCAAATTGGTATGCCAAGGATGCAGAAGATAGAGTCTACATTTTGCTCTTTTGAATCCTTGAGCACACAGATGATGGTAGTTTTGTGGTAAGCTCTTTAGTGATTCCAGAAGGTTAAGTTTCAAGATTTTCTGATAAGAAACAACTGAAAGCTGAAATTGGATTATGCTAGGTTCTAATCACAATTGATTTTGTTTGTTGTGTCACCGAAAATGGTAGCTGCATATTTGAAGTATTTCAGGAACTCGGGAACCACCCACAGAGCAACACATAGCATATTCATCTGGATTATGGACGTGTTATTCATCATGAATGTTGTAACATATTCATCATGAATGTGTGATTCATGATGAATAACACGTCTACATTCATCATGAATGTATTATTCATGATAAATATTCATCCTATTAATAGGGACACATGACATGTTGGTGGGGTTCCAGGAACTAATCAATTTTAGGTTTTTAACGGAACTTTCCTCACATACCCAAACAGTAAAATGAATATGTGCAAGCTGTAACTATTGAGAGGTTAAGAACGAATTCACTAGCAATTAGTTTTTTCCAAACATGATCAGTTCATCTGCTAGCTTTTAAGCTGAACAGCCAAGCTTGCCGAACATAGCTTGAACCTTTTATTTGAAAAATAAGATAAAAGGGGAAACTTAGCAGACCATCTGATTTTCTCAACAGTGAACTGCCACTGAATCTGCTTTTAGATCCCCCAACTACAAGCAAGAACCTCCTTAGACCAACAACTTTAACAACCCAACAATGATGTCAAAGCCTTGGAGGAAGTAAGAACTAAGAAAGAAGCCTTAATTAAATATCCTAACATGGAAAGGGATTGATGTTGACTTATATTATTGAGTTCCAACAGTTAAACTAGATTCATCTTGAAATCAACTTTTACACCAAAATCAAACGGTAGATTACAGATTACCAACTCCCAACCAACAAAATCAACTTTTCCGCCAATGAAATCTATATTTAGGGGTTCAAAACTAGTATCGGATTAAATCCACAGGAAACCCCCATTTCGAGTTTGATGGTTAATGACAATTCACTTTTTAGATTGAAATTTGACAAAAAGATTTATATGCATTATCATACAAATTGGTGTTACTTGTTATGCTCCTGAATCAGACACATAAGTAGTCCAAAAGCATCGCCCATTTGACAACATTTCAGATTTTCTCTATTACGTGAAGGGTATTGCAAAATATTCTACAAGCAGAATTTTAACATTATAACTAGAAATACAATCTATAAATTATCATGCTTTCGCAAACTAAAGGCACTAATAGCATGATGAAAGATGGAAGACATTAGATTGTGAGCTTACTGGTTAACCTCCACAAATTGTATCAACACAAGGGTGGTGCCTGATTGGTTTGAGCTTGGCTCCAAAGGTCAAAAGTACCAGTAGGTCCCAGGTTCAAATCCAAGGAGGAATAAAAATCCCCTTGTGGCCGCGGAGGTTCAAATGCGGTGACTTCGGACTATCTGCAAAGCAGGTCGTCGCCCTGGAATTAGTCGGCTCGCATAGCAGGTTGGATATCCAGGTTAATAAAAAAAAATCACTAGAAGAAGGCATAGAGGGACATGCCTTGCCACCCTGGCCTATAGTGGGCGGATTCCGGAATTTTGGTGATAGGGGTCGAAATTAAGTCATGACCACGTGTCCATGTGGTTGATAACGTCCTCTAATCAAATATTTTCGCCTTATTCTATCTCTTTGATTGGGGTGATACTACGTAAATATTTCTTCTTTCTAATGGATAAGATCATCCAAATCGACATTCCTAGGAATCAAATTGAGTAGAGCTTGGTTCAGGATGTTGTCATTTTCTTTTCAAAGATCTTTCCAATTTTCTAACGAAATAATACAACAATTAACAACCGGCCACCACAAAAATAGAATTTCCAAATGGAGAGAGTGCCTAAGAGGAGGTGAAGACAGAGTATAAATTGAACACAAAATTCCCATAAACGCCAAAAATTAACAAATTTCCCGTACGAAACCCTATCATCTTCAACATGAATCAAGCGAAACAAATGGCATGAACACGGAGGACGAAAACTACTATGATGAGTAAAAATCACGAAAAAAAGTCGACATCAAATTCTAAAATTAGCATGGACTAATCAAGTCGTTATTTCTCAACCGAAATACGCATCATGTTGCAGATGAATGAATCAATTACTGATAAAATCAATCGAAGAGAGACACGATTAAAGTCGATCGAACCTCGAATTTTTTTGAAAACATACGTTCATGATGAACACAGTGGTGTAACAAACCCTTACCATCGCTTGCGGATTTCCACGAAAGTTCGTCGTCATCAGATCTCTGAAACAATCCGGTAGCTGCTTCTGCAATCTCCGTTCCGACATGATCATAGCTTCCGATGTTCAATTCCTTCCTATTTTTGGAGGAAATTGAGTAGACAAGTGAGGCGAACATGAGTAGAGCTATAGGACCGGCGGCGTACCAAATATCTCCGGTGGTTGATGAGGGTTTATGAAGGGTGAAGTTTAGGTTGATGAGTTGGTTGAGGCCGGTAAACATGGCGACGACGGCGATTCAGTGTGTAACAGTGAGAACACCATTCAAAGTGAATTTATCCAACCAAATTGAGAACTGGCCAAGTAACCCCATAACACATTTCTTTTTTTTTTTATAATTATTTTTCTTTAAATAATAATTAAAATAATAATAATAAAGGAGATTGCTATTCAATCCTCTTTTAAGGGATGTTTGGCGGTTGCTCAATAATTTGATGTAAAATGATTAAGTGGTCAAAATAATTAAGAGATTCTCATGATATAGTACAAAATGAAATATATAATTGTTTGGTAATTGTTTACAATGAAATTAGAGCTCTTAACGATTAAGGAAGACCAATGATACAAAATCATTCAAAGGGTTTTAGAATCATTAAGAAGTAGTCTTCTTTTTCACCAAACAAGATTCACATCTTCATGATTCAGATGATGCCTCTTAATGAAACTATTAAAAAGAAAACAAACAACATTTCTTAATCATGAGTTTTGATGATATATATGAATAAGAAAGTGTTATATGAATATATTTAGCAATGTATAGAGGTGCAATTAAATTTTGAGGATTAATGAATGTTTTATGTAGATTTTGAGGGATCTTTTAATTCATAAAATTTTGGATTTTGTTCGATTATCGGTTTAAGTTATTTAAGGATTATTAAATGTCTATCTAATTGTTTTCATAAAAGCTAAGTTGATATCAGTTTATATATATTACAGTATTTTCATCAGATTTTTTAAAACTGAGAATATGAAGATTTTGTCCAGTTTTTTTACTTCAACGGACTCTTCAAAATAGAGAAAGTATGAGAAGAGAACCCAATAAAGTTGTGATAACTTTGAGAATCGATACATCATGTGTTATTTTAAATAATTTTTTCCATCTATGTTTTGGATTTAATGTATTGATTAACATATATTTGTTTCATAATATGAACATTTTTATGTGTTTATGAAACATAAAATACAACTAAAAAATTTCACATTGTGAACCGAGTACATATAAAACAAAAACATTATGAAACAAATATATGGTTATAAATATATTAATTTCTAGCCTTCGAAAGAAAAAATCATGTGAAACAATACCTTACGATAATAGTTTTGACAATTATCATAATATATGAGCTGAGGTTCTCATATGATTAAACCCCATAACTGTAATATATATGTATCTGTGTATATTTTTTAGATTTTAAAGATAAAACAATAATTGGTTTTGATTAAAAAAATTAAAATGAGGTATCTTGTTCTGTATTTGCTTGTGTTTATCGATTAATATATGAATTTAAACGTGGAGTTTTAAGAATTTATACTTGTGTATAATTAACATGTACTCTTGAATTTTAAGTAATGTTTGAAAAAGGATTGTAATAAAGCCATATTTGTGGAGAATGACAAAATTTAACTGATTTGGAATATAACTATGATGTTAACGAGATATAGAATTTTGATCTGACCATCTCTTATAGTTGTTGGGGGAAGGAAAGTAAGGTTTCCTTCTGGATCGGAGAAGGTAATACTGTGTATTTTTTTTAACTGTATTTAGTGCATTTCGACCGTAAATAATAATAAAAATTACATCGATAGATATATACATCACAAAAAGAAATAAATCGACAAAAATTTGGGAATAAAATATTAATAAAGTTTTTTTTAAGTAATTTGTTTAATTAAAATATTAAATACATTTAAGATATTTAGGATAAGAAAACAACTCAAATAAAAAGCTGAGAATACATCGATATACATATTAAATTTATAAATAAAAAAAATACTTGTTTTTTAAATAATTTTTCAATTTAAAATAGTAATTATATTTAAAATTTAAAATAGTGTTTATCGTGTATTTTATTATACTAGAATGATACTCACACAATTTAACGAGATATATTTCGATTTTAATGTTTCGTTTTATTTTTTTGGTCTCTGTCGATATTATAATATGGATTTATGTGGTTTTAAGCAATCAATAACGTTTTTTTAAAGATATAAATTTGAAGATATCATAAAAATTAAAAACATATATAAAAGTTCTTATTTTGTGTAATTTCTTTAATTTAATTTTTTATTATAATTTAATTTAGGTTTAATGACGAAATAATTTATTTTTGATTTAATAATATAATTTTTAGAAATACAATAATCAATTATTCTGTTAGAACTCAATAATTATCATATTTATATTTTTAGATATATTTAAAATAAGAATTTTATCATGTATTTAATTATATTTATCTATAATTAGTTACATGAATTCAAATATGCAGCTTAATAGATTGTAATTGTGTAAAATTTATCTGTAATCTTGAATTTTAAGTAATATGTATTAATAAATAGTATTTTATACATAAAAGATGATTTTTTTTTTAAAAGTGTCAAATGTTTTATAATATAGTATAGATTTATCGATTAGTTATATAAATTCAAATACGAAATTTTAAAAAAAGTTATATCACTTGCATGTAATCTTATTAATAATACTTAACACATAAAAAATGGTTTTTAAGACTTCATTCCAAATATTTTATAATAAAATTTATTTAAAAAACATTATAATATTAAAGTTATTGAATAATATAATTAAGAATAAAAAAATATTAAAAAGATGAATTAAATGAAATTTTGTTGAAAATTTAAGATTTTGTTACTTATCTTTTAACAAAACTAGAAGGGTACTCGCACAATGCAGTGAGATACATCTTGATTTTAATGTTTCGTCTTATTTATTTTTCTTTTAGTCGATGTTATAATATGGTTTTATTTGGTTTTGAGAAAGTGATAACGTTTTTATTTTTGAACAAAATATAAATATGAAAATATCATAAAAACATGAAAAAAAAATATTGATATTAGTACAAACTAACTTTTTAAAATTTCTCCTTTTTTATATTTCTTTAATTCATTTTTTTATTTTTAGTTTAATAATATAATATTTTACAAGATAATAATTAAGTATTTTGTTAGAACTCAATGATTATCCTAATTATATTTTAGATTTTTTATATTTAAAATGAGATGTTTATTCTCTATTTGATTATGTTTATCTGCAGTTAGTTACACAAATTCAAACATGAAGCTTTAATAAGTTGTACTTATGCTCAATTTACTTGTAATCTTGAATTTTTAAGTAATATGCATCAATAAACAGTAATTCATGCATAAAAATGGTTTTTAAGAGATTTTGTCTAATGTTTTATAATATAGTATAGATAATAATAGAAATTTGTATTAAAAGATGTACTTAATTATTACAAACATCTAATTCTATATTTATACTATATTATAAAATATTTGATAAAAACTCTTAAAAACTATTTTTTATGCATAAAGTACTGTTTGTTAATGCATATCACTTAAAACTCAAGATTGAAGTAGATTGTGCGTAAGTACAACTTATTAAAGCTCCATATCTAAATTCGTATAACTAACTACAGATAAACATAATCAAATACATGATAAACATCTCATTTTAAATATAAAAAATTAAAATATAGTTAAGATAGTCATTGAGTTCTAACAAAATACTTATTAATTATCTTTATAAAATGTTATATTATCAAACCAAAAATAAATTATTTTGTTACTAAACTTAAATTAAATTATAATAAAAAATTAAAGAAATTATATAAAAAATGAAAACTTTTAAATAGTTGATTTGATATTAACATTGATATTTTTTTTTCAAATTCTTATGATATTTTCAAATTTATATTTTATTCAAAAATAAAATCATTATTGTTTTCTTAAAAATACATAAACTCGTATTATAACATCGACAGAGACAAATTATAAAATAGAACATTAAAATCGAGATGTGTCTCGCTGCATTGTGCGAGTACTCTTCTAGTTATATTATAAAGTATTTAACAAAAACTCTTATAAATCATTCTTTATACATGAAGTACTGTATATTAATGCATATTACTTAAAATTTAAGATTACAATTAATTGTGCATAAGTACAACTTATTAAAGCTCAATTTTTGAATTCGTATAATTAATTGCAGATAAACATAATCAAATATAAGATAAATATCTAATTTTAAATATAAAAAATCTAAAACATAATTAGAATAATCATTATCTTTATAAAAAATTTATTGTTACACTAAAAATAAATTACTTCACTATTTGCCCTAAATTAAATTATAATAAAAAATTGAATTAAAGAAATTGTAAAAAAAACGAAAACTTTTAAATAGTTAATTTAATATTAATATTGATATATTTTTCAAAATTTTATAATGTTTTTAAATTTATTTTTATTCAAAAGTAAAAACATTATCTTTCTAAAAAACACATAAACTGTATTATATGAACAGATACAAAAATAAAACAAAACATTAAAATAAAAATTTATCTTATTACATTGTACAAATAGTCTTCTAATATATTATTAAATAATAGGACACATTAAATGCTTGAATCATCATTTTATTTGATTTTGAACAATAAATTAATTTTCAGAAATATAATAATTCTAAATATTTGTAAATACAAAAAGGTTGTCACCACTTCCCATGTTGTTTTTTGAAATATAGTACTCATGAAATCGTGATAACCTTGAAAATTTATGCATCGTGTGTTTTTTATATAATTTTTTCATTTAAGACTAGGATTTAGAATATTGATTAACATATATTTGTTTCATAATGTACTCGGTTCACAATATGAACATTTTTAACATAATTATGAAATAAAAAATACACGTAAAAAATTTTCACATTGTGAACCAATATATATGAAACCAACACCAGTGAAACAAAATATATGTTAATCAAATCATTAACTTAGACGAAGAAAAAAAACCGTGTAGAACAAAATCTTAAGTAAAAGTTCTCACGAATCTGACAAATTTTGGAATTCTCAAATGATTAAACCATAAAAATACAAATACAATAAATAAATAAAAAACATTGCACAAAGGTATTTTCTTTGTCCAAGATAGTTTGTTATTGGATATATAGTTCACATTTGTGTACCAATCACAACCTAAGGAGCCGTTTACCAAATGATTATCCGGGTAAGTGTTTATCAAGTTACATTACCTTCTCGAATGAATATGGCA